GGACAGGCACCTGAGTTCACCTGTTTTGTGGTTTAAAAGCCACAAAGACGCTGTGTTTAGAGAAAATGGGTCTCAATTGTTCCCATACTGCTGACACATACGGGATCACTGAGGGTTTTTTCTTCTCCAGCTTTGACAAAAGTCCAGCTGGGATAACCACATTTACTCAGGGTCAGCTTTTAGATGTCCCCCATTACTGATTGAAATCTCACAGTCCAAGAAGGCTAACCTGCCACTTTTCATATCCTCCCTGGTGAATCTGATGTGTCGGTCCAGCGAGTTAATGTGATCCGTGAATTGTGGTACGTCCTGAGATTTGATTTTCACAAAGGTGTCACCTTCGTCTGGCACAAACGATTATTCTGATAGTTGGCTAGTCACCGATTATTTTTGCGATTAGTCGACTAATCAGATCATGCATCCACCAGCATGTGTCTCCTCTTATATAACTATCATTATAGCTTGAAGTGTTTAAGATATGTGCTAACTAAAAATAAAGACAAGATGATACTCTAACCTTTTAATAACATTTGCAGATTGTCTTGGTGCAGTTTAGTAAACTCAGCCGTCTGCTCCTTGCTATCTAAAATATAACAGGACACCGGAGTAAATTCTCGAGCATCTCACACTTCTGTTTAATCAGTTTTCTGCATGACGTTTAGTCAGCTGTGTGAAAAGTAGAGATGGCACGATACCACTTTTATGCCTGATACTGACATAGTGTGTTTAAGCAATAAAACAGTTTTTTTAATATCTTGCTGCATTTTGCATAAGTTCATACTCAAGTTTAACACAAACAAACTAAACAACACTGAAGGTTTTCTGTTACACTTGTATGCAAAAAATGCACTGCAGCCAAAATATTTCATAGTTCAGCAAAACTGATCAATCAAATAAACTTAAACCTGCTCCATCCTCCCTACTCTGGTGTTTTAAAGAGTACTTAGCAGAAATATTAAGCAACCTAACTAACAGGGCTGCAAACTCCCAGCAAAAGAAAAAAAAATGCACAGAAATAAATTTTTCAAGAATAATTAAATAGATTCAACATCTTTCTTCTACAGAGCTGCAGACTGCACAGATGGTTCCCAAAGGAAAAAGTACTA